TTATTAAAGGTATAAAACTACTAACTTTATTGTAAAACTTGGAGAGTTTATGCTTTACCTCTTGCAAGTAGCCGGCAGATTAAATTAAAATTATTATTGCATGCTAAATTAAATTGTATTTGAAATTGCTACCTTGACGTTATAATCTTTAAATCTTTTCTTCGTGTGCAAATTATTCTTTCTATTATTATATTATTATTATTATTTTTTTTTTTGAATCTATCTTGGTTATAATTATCTCTGGAAGATAATTTTTTTTGCAAAATTGCATTGCTACTAAACTGCTCGAAGTTTATTTTTCTTTTATAGAAGATCCTGTAACTAGATTTCATAACCAAAATATTATTAATCACAAAGCCCAATATACAAATTTTTCTGCTCTTGCTATTTACATACTTCAATATAACACACCTGATCTATCTTGTTATATTTGCTCTCTACCTCTGCAAACAAGCCCTTATACTCCACTAGAAATTTTCTGAAAGTGGTATTCTGAAACTTATCATGTTGAATCCCACACTCGCAACACCCAAACAAATTTCTTTGTATTAGGAACTACATATAATCTAGTTGAAGCTCGAGTTGCTGCTAGAAATATTATTTTTAGTTGCCATTATACTCAAAATATTGGCAACGTCAAAGATATTGTTCTTGCATTATTCCGAAGATACACCCATTTCAGTAATATACCTAAAACCCCCTTTGCTAACAGGAATTACTATGATAATTATATTGACTTTCTTGATTACAGAAAGACAATTACAAAACCTATTGTACATTAAAATTTTCCTCCAACTTTAGGCCAAGCCACACATCATACTCCTCAACGAAAGATTGCTATTACTACTTACACTGATTCTAATATTACTATTGCTGGACTATCTGCTGTAAATCCTACTCGACAAATTGCAGAAACTTTAGAACCTTATAGTGGTGATAATAGAATACATAATAATTCACCTTTCAAGTCTTATCAATCTCCATACAGAAGGAATCTCACATTAACTATTCACACTACTGACCAAAGGCAGTACCAATATCAACCACCATATATTTATAGAGTTCACCCAAACCACATTCAAGAAATTTTTTTTGCTAGCACATTCTATATACTACTTAAATCCCCAACTGAATGTGTATTAAATCAACAAGCCAGAAATTTTGAGCAAGACGCTGAAGAGCTTTTAAATCAACTTCAACGATTTCCTACACCTGACCACGAATTAGAGAACAAAGTTTTAGAAACTACTATTGTTCACAATCAAGAAGAAAATTCTAATCAAGAAGAAAACTCTGAACAAAGAGAAAATTTAATATGTGACAAAGAAAACCCTAAACAAGAAGAAAACATAATACATAAGGAAGAAAACCTTGAACAAGAAGAGAAACCTGACCAAGAACTTGATAATAACGAAGAACCTATTGACGAAGACGAAATGGCATTGAATGATGCTGCAAATGCCATAACCTGCTTTATAGAAACAATGGAAAGAGGAGAAGCAGGTGAAAAGAATTTGATCAAAGTAGAACCTTTTTTAGAAGATGGCACCCAAGAACCCCTTGACTGGTTAGAAGAATTTGAGCATGCTGCAAAAGCTAATGGTGGAGTGAAACTCGAAAACTTGCATTAGCTAAAGTCTATATGACTGGAATTGCTAGTGAATGGGTTCAAGGATATAGAGATGCCCAAATAGCACATTATGATAATCAGCATCAACAACCAACTAGTTTTAAACCTTTTTTAAAGCCAAGTTCTTTACAATTCCCCAAAAAGCAAGATGGCAACAACAACTCTTTGACCTCAAACAAGGAAATAATACAGTCGATGCCTATATCTCCAAATTTAAAAACTTAAACTGTAAAGTTAAAGGCCTACCTGACCAATTTATTCGCCAATATTTTATCTAAAGACTATGACCAGAATTTGCCATGCCTGTTTAGGCCGCTAGATATGATAACCTTGTTAATATTATGAATGCTGCTAGAAATTAGGAAACAGGAAAACATATTGCTACTCCAAAAACAGGAACCAATGAAGCAATTGCCCGACTCACTGACCAAATTGCTTAACTCAGTATCAATCTGGCCCAACAAACTAAGCCAGCCTATGCTGCAGAAACTAGACAAAGCTCATCTAAGAATGATGCTATTTGTTACTTTTGTAGCAAGAAAGGACATTTCTTTGCTGATTGTTTTAAAAGAAAATCAGGAGGAAACAGAAGTAATGGAAGAGGCAGAAGTAACAATAATTACAATAACAACTGAAGAAACAACTACAATGATAAACCCAACAACTATAGATGGGACAGAAGCAGAAATCAATCACGTGATAGAAACAAAAACAGAAGCAGAGACAAAAACTATTCTCGTGATAGAAGTAGATCAAGAGATAGAAGTCAAGAAAGATGGGGACCCAGATCTAACTGCTCATCTTCACCCTACTGTCGAAATGTCAACTTGGCTGAAAAATCTAACTCTAAACCTGACCCAAAAACTTCAAATAATTGGAAATGCCTGTTGGACAACTATTCCATTCGCACTGCTCTTACTGCATATATTACAGACATAAACCAAGAAAATACCAAACCAACCCCAGAAAATAACAACAATATCACCCTTGTTAAGTGTTTTGTAAATTTAAAGGACCAAACCTACCTTGCTTTCATAGATAGTGGAGTCTCCGTTAGCATGATTGCTCATAAAGTTGTAAAGAAATTAGGACTAAAAATAAATAAACCTTCCAAAAGTTTGATTGTGGCTGCTACCGAAACCACATTCCGACCTCTAGGCATTATTAGGAACCTACCTATTAAAATCCAAGATAGAACCATCCCTATTGACGTAAAAGTAGTACCTGCTACTTCATATTCTCTACTTCTAGAAAATGATTAGTCTCAGAAGGTTGATGCCAACTACAATTGCCAATATACTATGTATTGAAAAGAAAAAAAGTTAATCATTGATACTTTCTACAAACAGAAACAGCCCAAAGAAAAACAACCTACCTGTATCACCTCAGAAGACTTTGAATTATATAAGCAGGAATACCTTATCTCTCACAAAGCCTATGCTTTTACAGCAACAAATGAAGGAAAAGAAGGATGGACTGTCTATATGCCTTGCCATAGAAAACAGCATATGTGTAAAACTTGTGGTCTTAGGAATCATCAATGCAAAAACTGTTCTCAAAATGAATGCCACTACTGCTATGAGAAAGTCCACATCCTTATTAACTGCCCCAGTAAACAAAATAAAAGAGCAAATTGCAAAAATTGTAACTAGACTGACTATCTATTTAAGGACTGCCCTTTGAACTTGTGTTTTGGTTATAAACAAACCGGACATATTGAAATCAATTGTCTATTAGCCCAACAAAAACTAGACAACCAGATCTACCACTGTGGTTGTAACTATAGATGGGGTGAAATTAAAATTCAATTTTAAGATATTTTAACCGTTGAAATTAAATTCGATTGTTGAAACCGAATTTATTTTTAGTAGTTGAAATAAATTCAACTGTCGAAATTAATTTAACTGGTGAAATTAATTCAACTGTTGAAAATAATTTAACTGTTGAAATTAATTCAACTGTTAAAATTAATTCAATATCAAAACTATCAAAATTAATTCAATCCAATACAGGCAACTTTTATAAATGCACATTGTCGAGTAAAAGTGCATTTATAGAATATTCAATTATAGAGAATAATCTACATACAATATTAAATAATTACATTAGACTGATTAAATTATGTACACTTATTATAGAAAAAGTGTGCGCATATGGAGTATACATATTATTTGCAAATATTAGAATTGCGTTAATTCGGATGCCTATGAGCAATAATTCAAGGCCATGTAAGTTATTTTTAAAGGACCCAATTTTAAAATAATGCTTATGAGCATTATTCGCGATTCTTGCATTGTAGCAATACATAATGCCTCTTATTTAATATAATACGGCAGGTTATTTATAAATAATATAGCATATGACACATTAGTTAACTTCTAATATTTATATCTTGCATGATGATAAACTGTAACTGAGAGTTTTTATTGATTAATCAGAAAAACGTAGGATTGATTAGAGTAAGTATTTCTTTATTTTTGGTTTGATCGATTATTTGCTTTATTATTTTTTTGCTATGTACCTATTACATCATTGATTATCCCATTTTGACTCCTGAATTGATTACTTCATTTCGTTATTTTACTCTATAAACTCTGCATTATTGCCAATTACCGATTCCTTCATTTATGCACAATCTTTGACCCAATCAATCATCACATGCTTCACGTACATACGTACATATGAACACATAATTTGATCGATTGATTTTTCTTCTAAAACAACTTTTTTTTCATTTTTCTATTTTTTATTTTTTTATTTTTATTTTTTTTTATTTCTAATAAACCTAATTATATAATGTTTTTAAATCGATCCCTTTAACTAAGTATATTATATACTTGTTCCCGCTAAGACAATATCATACATGGTTGATCAATAAATTGGGTAGATCAAACTCTACTTAAAATCTCAGTTTTCTTTATCTATTGATGCATTTCGCATCTGCATTCCTTGATTGACAAGTTCGTCAATATCAAAATCCTTTTCACCATGATCAATAACTTCATCTAAAATTAAAGGTTGATCTGTATTATTTAAAGCAAGATTCAAATTAATGTCATTTTCAATTTCTAGCATACTGGAATCAACTTCAGATAAATCATCTGCATCTTCAAGATTATCTTCAATATTATCTTCAAAATTGTCTTTAGAATCATATAACTGGATATCTTCTTCAAACATAGCAGCACCTGAAGTAAGCAAATTGGTATAGTTATGCATCATCTTTAAAAAATCACTTTCTGAAAGATTTTGTCCAATGTAATTAAGTTCATGACGTGCATTTGTAACATAGTATGCATGTAATTTGGCCATATTCAAAACCTTTTTTATAGTCAATCTTGAATAAAATTAAAATTAATATGCATACTGCTAAAAAATTAAAATAAAATATTGCAGTATAACGTATATATATGCATACCTATTTCGACGTTTTTGAGTAAACCAATTTAAAACAGAAAAGAAAAAGGGTTAGGGTCCCATAGCCTAGTAGTCTAGGCGCCTAACCCTCCACAGACAAGATTAATAGTTCGATTATAGCTGGTGGTAATTAATTTAATTAATTATCTCTGTAACCTACGAGAGCTTTCGAATGCGAAACCCTGTGACGATAAGACCTGTGAAGTACTTATTTGGCTTATAAAGAATTCTTAGAAGGAGTTCCGAGTCGTAGAGAAGTCTGGGCACTATGTATAACATGGAGTTATAGAAAGTAATATCGCATAAGGCTATGCATGTAAATCCCTGATTGGCTAGGTAGCACCAACAACTCTAAGGTGGTCTTGGGGATCTTGATTGGAAGGACAGCTAAATGTAGTATATCTGGAAGTGGTGAGAGAAGCGATGAATACAGCAAAGGGCTGTGGTAAGAGAATGGCTTTACTAAATAAAGGAACACCTCTGGCATACAAGATTGGAAAATTGGAAAACTAATAAGGAAACACTGCATA